CTTCAAAAACGCAATAAATAGCCTACCCCTGTGCCCCCACCCCTTTAAATAGTGTCACGAAAAAAAACAAAAAGGGTTTTTTATCTACTCTAATTGCTAGTTGGTCTATTTGTAATTATTTTCTGGTTCGTGTGCTTTGTTTTAGTCGCTTGATCGCTGCCTATCAATAGATATTTCTGCAGAAGCTGGGATTAGGATTATTTTATTATTTTAAGGATTTGTCCTGATTCATAAGATAATACCCATTTGTGCTACGATTACTGCGCTCGTCAATCCCGAGGTATAACACCGAGGGATGTATGACATAGATGGCAAAGTGGTATATAAGCGATGCCCCAAAAATCTGGCGAACTATGGGAAATCATAGCCTATGGCTCACTGCTGTACATAATATTGTGTCCCAATTCGGACCGTGGAAAACCAGGGTGACCTGATCAGAAAACTCAGAAATGAGTACAGAACTATAGAAATATGTCTACAAATCAAAACATGGTTGAACGGCTAGAAGGCTTCAGAGGGAAAGAAAAAAAATGCATTAGGTATATACAAAGTCGTGTGTTTATGACAAACTAGAGAAAAAATTAATATTTTTTTAGGCATTAACTACTCCTAATGTTTTATTTTTTAGTTCAACATCATTCAACTCTCTTCTTTCCTTTAGTTTATATTTCGAAGAGCGGGATTCAGTCATAAATTCGCGAATCGTTACGATCTGCTCTAAATTCCGTCCGTTAACACCGATACATTACAACGGCTCCTTTTTTAGTCCTTTTTTCGACCGATACAACGACATTCGACATATGTGTGACTGTCGAGCGTGAGTGTGACCTAAGGTCACCGAGATGGTGTCCTCATCGGCTGTTAAACGGTGTCGCAAATGAAGCCATGCTGTCTACTCTTGTTCGAGAAAAGCAAGAGTAGAGGTGGGCGATAACTTTGTAAATTGTAATATCTCGTTATGCGGACCTACTTTCGTTATATATACATAGACGAATTCTGAAGGATTTAGTACTACAAGAATATATATACTAATAATAAAAAGTCAGTATATACATATTTTTAAAATATAGTTAGGGAGCAGCGAAGAATATAAGGAAAAAAAAAATAGTATTTATAGTCTTTATTTAGCTCTTGGAACCTTAATTAATCGAGTCCAAAAGAACCGAAAAGACTGAGAAAGGACTAAGAAAGGATTGCAGGGTATCTTGATACTTAAGCAGATACCTATGAAAATTTGGTGTTTATTTAAGACACTGAAAATTAAAGCTTTTGTGTTTGTACAAAAGCATTGTATAAAGTCGGTTCGCTATATTTACGCGGGTTTCGGATTAAAAATTTTATTGTACCCAGTTTTAATTACCTGCTCTTTGGGGAAATATCAACTGGTCAAATGAAATGAAAAATAATCCATAACTTTTTTTAATTAAATAATAATGGAAAATCTTTTATATAATTGACAGTATAATAAGGAGAATTACTTCATTAATGGAGTCTAATGTGGCTAATATAAACCTAATATTAATTTTATATTACACTTCACACAGAAAATATGGTCTATGTATATTTGTTCCATGGAGAGAATTTCTAATGAAAAATAAAAAAATTTTTTGCCAACAAAAATGAAAATCAGTCATTATCATCAAAAATATCATAATCGTCATCATCATCACTGTCATCACCATTAATTGTTATTATGATTTGACTTATTTCGTTTATTTTATTTTCACGAGTCCACCAATCTTCTATTAGTTTCTCGCACTTGAATATACAGTTGCACCACACTTCTGGAGTTACAATTGAAAGTGCCTTTCGCCAAGTTTCCCGAACTGCGTCGTCGCTATAACCGTTAGGCCCAATATGGTTGTCATAATATTGTTTTGCTATTCCCCATATATATTTGATGGGATTAAACTGGCAATGATACGGTGGCAGACGTAAAACTTGATGACCGTAACTTTCAATAATCTGATCCACAACAAGGGTTTTTGGTTTTGCGTGGATATTTGCCAAGCGTAATAATTCTAATTTTAAAATATGTTGTGTAAATGGTATATGTTCCTTTGTCAACCATTCTTTAATTTTATTAACAGTCCAAGAAATCGTTGGACTTTTGTTAAATACTTCAGAATGGTAAGGTGCATTGTCTAAAATAATTACGCTGGGCTCACTTAAACCTGGGAAAAGTTTTTCATGTAACCATTTTACAAACATTTCTGTGTTCATATTATCGTGATAGTCACTTGATTTTGATTTAGATGAAAATATTAAATCAGCACCTTCTATAAAACCCGATTTTCCTCCTGCATGTAAAATTATGTGTCGCTTCCCTTCTCCATCAGTATGTTTGTTAGACTTTACGTTATCATCTTGTCATATTCTCTTGGTTGCACCCCTAGAAAATATCCATGTTTCGTTTAAATATATAAAGATTGCCCTTTCTTTTTTTAATTTAGAATATTTTCTTAGAAAGTTAATTCTCTTACGCACAACAGAACTTCTTTACAAAGGGCTTTTCTGTTATCCTTCTTTTGAAATTTGAAACCCAAATTATGTATCACTTGCCATAGACTTGTTCTGCCAATTTCGTCAAATTTTCTATCTTTTAATTCCGAGAGAATTGTATTTAAGGTCACATGTTCCTTGTTGGCTCGCATTCGATAAATGGTATCACGAATTTCAAATTTTTTTTTCATCTGGAATATCTTTCGTTTTCAATGATAGGCGAGTTTTTCGGTGATCTTCTTTCGGCCGTTCATTATTGCGATTTTGTAATACTCCTCTTAGTTTGGTTTCACTAATTTCTAGAGCATCACATACGCGTTGTTGAACCGACATTACCAATTTTAAAGGACCGCCATTTTCTTTTTCATCCGTAAAATACTTATGTACACTACAAATGAGACTATCTACATCTAACACACATCTAGGCATTTTTAAATATTTCCACCAAATTATACAATGTCAACACTGGCACAGAATCAATTCAACTGCAATATTGTAACAAATTTTTACCTACCCTAATGTTATTTTAATGTATTTTAAAATATGACCATTAATGCAGTTTTTACCTAATTTTCTGGGAAGTCGTTTACTGCAACTGGTTATCAATGAGTCATTAGCATAATTTTGTTAATCCGTAACTCGCGTAAATATAGCGAAGCGACTATACTATTAATCCTGCTGAATATTCCTCCAGAGCTCCTTCAAATATCTCAGAACAGTCTTCTAAAATGTTTCAGTCTATATTGAATTCCGACATTGTTCTGAAGATATTTTTTTGTGGCATCTTAAAGCAATTACTATTTTAATGGGAATAAGCCACAATTGAAGTTTATTTATCCGACATGGTTCACTCAAACATTCCAGGATAGTCTTAACGTTTCGTATCCTGATTTCCTGCAGACCTAAATCAAATATTCCAGAATGTTCCAAAACCATTTCAACATACCCAGATGTTATCCTGGTGCTCTTGAAAGTTTCAATATTAAAAAACAAATAAATGGAAGTTTTTGAATTTTAAATATTATATAAGCCAGTGATTCATATTATCCTATCATACTGGCTAGTCCCCAATATCGTCCTGAAATATTCCAAAACAGTCTTCTAAAATATTTCCGGCTTCATTGAATTGTGGCATGATCCACTTAAACATTCCAGGATAGTCCTTAAACATTTCTGTCTATCCTGATTTTCTCCAGAACCAAATGAAATATTCCAGAAGAATTCAAAAACATTTCAAAAAACATATTTCACAAAAACGAATACACCTGAAAGTTTCAAGCGTATTAAAAAACAAACAGGAAAAAAATTTATGCTTTTGAATTTTAGATATATGAGACACTGATGCATCTTGCTGGATAGTCCCCAATATTGTCCGGAAATATACCAGAACAGTCATAAAATATTTCAGGTTGCATTGAATTCTGTCAACTTTTCCTCCAGAACCAAATGAAATATTTTAGATCAGTCCAAAAGCCTTCCAAATCTTCTTGGACTTTAAACAAGCTTACGATTCTGTTAGCAGAGAAGCATTGTGGAAGACCATGGTAGAAATGGGAGTACCTGGAAAGCGGGTACGATTAGCACAGGTGAGGACACAGAACGCTTCCGCACGGATCAGAACTGACCTGCACCACGTCGGAAGAATTCCTATCGACACCGGGCTTAGACAAGGAGATCCTCCCGCCTCCCTGCTATGTAATTTTGCACTGGAACATGCGTAAGGAAAGCTCAACCATAACTGACAAACGGATTTGCCGCCCAGGCGTTTGCGGATGACGTGGACACAATTGCACAATCTACCAAAGATGCAAAAGAAGTTTTCACTCTATTCGAAAACGGAGCCAAGGAAGTTGGTCTGAAGGTCAACAAGGACAAGACCAAGTACATGGTGGTTACGAAGAACCCAAGGCCAAAGGTTAGACAAAACGTAACAATCAATGAAATACAACTTTGAAGTCGTCAAAGAATTCAAGTACCTGGGAGCGATCATAACATCTGAAAATAAATATAAAAAGGACGTGGCAACCAGGGCCATTGCACGAAACAGGGAATATTACTCATTAATGACCGTACTTAAATCAAAAATACTTTCAATATCAGCAAAAATAAGAGTGTATAAGACAATAATTCGTTCCACAATAACGTATGGAAGCGAGACATGGACTCTGAACCAGCGGAAAACGACAAAATTACTGGTACTGGAAAGAAATATACTGCGGACTATCTGTTTTATTCTCTCGGCAATTATAGCAAAACAGATATTTTATTCTCTCCTGTTCCTCTTGGAATAGTCTTGGTGTTAAGTCAAATGCATAGCTTTAATTTTAATTGTATTCTTTCTGAAATTTAACCATTATGATTACCAATAGTTTAAAGACAAGCCTTTAAGCAAAGTACTAGTTTTTTTTTATTTTTAATTAAGAATTGTAGTACTAGCTTCTAATAGTAGTAAGTTTTGTACTTTTCAGCGCTCATTAATCAATTTTTTATTGTTACAGAGGCTTCAGCATTAGCGTCTGTGATAGGCATCATATATTCAAACCAGTTTCAGTTCAAGCCATGTGGTAAGTACTTTTCTATTAGCTGAACGTTTGAAGTACTATTTCATATTTATAAAAATCTGTAAATTTGTCTTATTCGCTTTAAAAATCAGGTACTAATTTAGACAAAAGAAATCGTAGACTTTTTTAAGAGACGAGACTTTCTTTATGATAAAATGTCAAGTTCGTATTTCTCGTAATGTTCAAGCAGATTCTTTAGCAGGTAAAGTTAGATTGAAGTTATATTCAAGATTCAACAAAATGGGCATAATATATACTCACCACATATTTATCAACTACAAGACTGCCTACGACTCATTAAACATAGGAGAGATGTTAACGTTTAGGACAGTAAGAAATCTAGTAATACCAAATCAGTTGGTAATGTTCAACAAAAATACCCCTTCAAAAACTTACGGTACAGATCTCAAAATTGTCTGAACCATTAAAAACCAACAACGAGCTATACCAGAGTGACCCCAGTCACAAATTACAAAGCTCAGTACATATACAGTATGGCCCAAAAGTCTGGAAACGGCCAATTATCTCAGAAATTGCTAATCGTAATTGTACAAAATTTGAGATACACATTTTCTGGGATACGGAGATTCCATATTTAATATTTGCACTGTTTCCAGATTTGGAAACGAGTCTGGAAAAGTAAAATATAGATACCGATCAGATAGACCGAAAAGAGTTACGAATGACAACAAAACTTTCGATATAATGCAAAGTTTTGTTGAAGAACCACATATATCTTCACCCAGGGTTGCACAAGTACATGATGCAAGTCGTTCTTCAGTCTTGCATGTATTACGTAAGAATCAATTTAAACCACACAACATTAACTTATTGCAAGAATTATGTGAAGATGACTTCGATCGTAGATTAAGTTTACTGAGGTAATGATGGATAAAATTAAAAATGATGAATAATTCGTTAACAGAATATGTTTTTCCGATGAAGCAACCTTTACACTATGTGGAAGTGTAAATCGACACAATTTAAGCTACTGGAGTGAAGTAAATCCACACTGGATGTGTGAAAACCATACTTAAAGACCACAAAAATTAAATGTATGGTCAGGTATAGTAGGTACTCAGTTAATTGGGCCATTTTTTATCGAAGGAAATATAACGTCAGATAGTCAGAAATGTTACTTAGAAATGAAATTGTACCTACGCTGAGAAATTTGTTTGGGGCCAATTTGAATCAGATATGGTTTCAGTAAGATGGACCTCAAGCTCATTTTGGTGTAAATGTTCGGCGTTATTTAGATGAGATATTTTCCCGACGATGGAATGGTAGACGAGATAGAATTGAATGGCCTCCACGTTTACCTGATTTCAATCCTAAAGATTATTTTTATTAGATATATTTGAAAAATTCAGTTTACAAAACTAAACCAGCACGTCTTGCAGAGCTAAGGCATCGAATTATCGATGAATTTCGGATAATTTCTAGACAATCATGGAAAAATGTGGTAGACCCATTCTACTATCGATTATCGTACTGTCAACTCACAAATGGAGTACAGTTTGAACACTTGATAAAAAATGTTGTAATCTATCAATTGTTACGTTTTAATTTAGTTGAAAACAAATAATATTAAAAAATTTAAAAAGACAATTAGGCGTTGCCAGACTTCTGTTTTATGTATCTAAGACCTTCCAGACTCCATAAAATCGTAAGTATTACATATGGTTGAACTTGTATTGGATAGGAGATTCCAATAATGATTGAATATACAGGGTAATGACTTTAAAAACCAAAGTTACTAATATTATAAGAAAAATGGCAAATCTTCCAAATAATTAATTGTTTTTAGTCCAGTCTTCAGTACTCAGTCTTCAGAACTCTAAAACGAGATAAACAAGCTGAATTTTGCTGAGAATGTCAAGTTTGTGACATTTTTTATCCCTTTATTGGGAAAGTTGTAAGGGCAAACCGGAAGGTAAGTGGAGTAAACTTATTTGCATCATTCTAGCAGCAAAATTCAGCTTGTTCGTATGATTTTTAGAGGTTTAGTAGCATTTTCTGCTCTGAAGGGTGGAATATTCAGATTTAGAGCCTGGAAGAAAACGTTATAGGCTGTTGTGTATCATATTTTCAGTCACAAGTAATTGCTCAAATTATATCTATCGTGGAATAATATTATCATTTTGTCACATCATATTTAATTTTATTCGATGCTTTGTGGAGCATCTTAACATTACCCGCTTCTTCAATTTCCATCTTCTGATTTATAATTTGTGTGACTGATTTTTTGCAATATTTTTCCTTTCATTAAACTTAAATTGTACGTATTATTTCCAAAATGTGTGTTTTAATTGAAAGCTGCTGTTACACCAATATCTATTAACCCTTAAACCCGCGCTCTCCTTTTCTATCCCCATTCTTATTAATAAATAAAAAGATCAAAGTGCCAGGCCTGTTTTTGACTGAGATGGTGGCAGGCAGAACAGAGAGCGCCAGCGGCAGAGGCCGAATGAAAAATGGATGAGGCCTTAAATGGAGACGGCTCGCGTCAGAGAGTAGTGCGTCTTTTTATAGAAGCGCCTCGACGAGCGGCGTCGGTCGAAGCCGCGCTTCCTAATACGACTGTTTACGGCATTTCTGGAGATGCCAGACAGACCGTCGGGATAGAGAAGTAGGAGAAACACATATATTTGGGATCGTTAGGTTAGGAGGAAGATTTCTGAAAAAAAATCCATGAATTTGCCTCGAAATATCTTGTGTTTACGCGAGTATGAAAACGAATATTGTTGTAAATTTTATGCAGAGAACAAAAATCTTTAGTACACTTGTTATGCAGCAATTATTCATAAGTTTTATAAACGTATGTTATTGTTTACGTTATTTAACCTTTGTATTATAACTTTTTATTTGTCACCAGGACAATGTACAGCAGGGGTCGCAACTTTTTTTGGACGGCGGCCATTTTCAAAATAAATTTATGTGGGCCGCACATTCAAATATAACTTAAATAGTCCTTTTATATCATATACGAGTATAAATATTATTAGAAATAAATATAGAAAAAAATTATTTTTTTCTTTAAACGTCAAATAATGATGACATTACTTATCCAACTTGATCCTGTCAAATTTTGTTGTTTCCGCCGGCAGCTGTTTTTTTTTTCATTTCTTTACGGCGGAAGGAAAAATGTTGTCATGGCAACAATATGAAACATGTCACAAAGCAAGAATACAAATGTCATTAACAACAATTAAACATCATTTTTATTTATAGTAATATTAAAAGTACACTTAGTTAATGAGGCATTTTCAAAATTGAAACCGTCCAAAAATGTTCCCGACTCTTGATACGCATTGCTAATTGTTGATGATACTGATGGTCGAGAACAACTTTCAGCAATCATTCCCGATGTTGGCGAATCATGAGGGTTTAAAATTTTTTGAGCATTATCGTTCTTATTTCTTATTGAAACCTCTATATTATTATATCCTTCGGCAACCGTGCTTGATTTCCAGCCCCCGTGTCGTTTGAGGCATTCTAGATTTCCGCCTCCATCAATTAAAAGTGTTGCTGAAGTTTGTCGTAAATAGTGACCCGTGTATGCGCTTGCATCGTTTAAATTTAAATAACTAGCTACTTTTTGGGCTACTGCGCTGATCGAATGAATTCCCATGACGCTTCGGTAACACTTTCCATTTTGGTACTTGATAAAAAATCGGTTTTCTGTAAAATTTTCAGGCCGCAGTGATGAATACTTTTTATACAGTTTAATGTAGTTTTGACCAGTTATCGTAAAAGATCTAATTTGTCGTGTTTTACTGTCGGGGATTTTGATAATTATTACTTTATTATTATTAATATATTATTTTCTTTATCCTCAATGTCCACAGTCTTCATTTTTACCATTTCGTCGCATCGACAGGCGCTGGTAACCCCAATTAACAAAACAATCTGAAATATTTTTATAATTTAGTAGAGTATACTACATGCTTTGCAATATAATTTTTTTTACCTTTAATCCTAAATACAACTTATCTGGCGCTTCAAACAAAAATTTATTAAACTCGTCTTTAGTGAAAACTTTAGACTTCTTTGCAGTATATCCTTCGCTTGTTTTTTTTTTCAGAAAGGTACGTAACTTTAAAAATTTGCTTATATCCACATTTTTTCTAATAATTAACTCGGATTTTATCATAGAGTATCGTACCACATTGTAGAAGATTTCCATTTATTTTAATTTTCCATTATATTAAAATATGCCAGTAAACGTCTTCGGTAACTTGCCGTACTCCTCTTGTATCGCACCACTCTTGGAAGTGCTTGTACGCTAACCGATACTTTATTCCGGACTTGGAGGGCCCCAAACGTGCTACTGCATCATTAGCTGCGGACTCAATTTCGTTTAGGTTTTCCATTTTTGCACTAAATTTGCGCTTGCGGTTGCAACAACAATAAGCTGTCTTTAATAATTGCAAACAACTGTCAAACAACTGTAACCAGAGAGACGCAAATCCCACCGACGACTTAATTATTTTAATTTCTAACAGCTAGACGACTTTGATAGTTGTCACAGTTAATTTCGAGTAAAAATAGCGTATGAATTGTACTATTTATGGTTGAAAATTGCTACGTTTGAAGAAAAAATAGTATACTTTATTCGGCAAAGAAGCGACTTTTCTTGACTTGCCCTCTATTACGGGCGCGTCAAGAAAAGTCATGCTTCTCCGCCTCATAAAGTAATATACTATTATTGATATGCTATAATAATAATCTCAGAAAACAAAAATTTTACAATTCTTAAAAGGGAAAAAAATAAAATTCCAATTACACATGTATAAATATGTAAATTTCAGTAGTCAACGTAGAGACAGACCAACGGCTGATTGCGGAACAGACCATAAACTGTTCAATCCGAAACAATCTAAACAATCTGAATTCCGTATCAAATTTCGTAAAAAAACCGTAACAAATAAAACAATTAAATATATACTTATTATTAATTATATACAGCGTACCCTAAGTAAACTATGGTCAACTCTACAACA